AGGCCCGCGTACCGCTAAAAAAAAAAAAAAAACCTCCCTGGGTAGATTACAAGAGTCCATGAGAAATAAAAAGAACGTTAAACACACACACACACACACACACACAGCTCCCAGATATGGGCACTGAAACACTGGTTTCAAATTTTAAAATATGTAACAACCCATTTTGCTAGGCATAGGGAGAAGTTCTTTCCCCACACACGAAGGGCAGACCAGATACGGCATCCACGAGCTGATAAAACCCTGCCAGAAAATAAGCTGGGAAGTAGCACAGCCGTTTGCTTAGGACCCTAGGCTTTGGGGTTCAAATTCCAGCTCTGCTATTCCCCTGGCTGTCTGACCTTGGGCAAGTTGACCTGCTTTCACTGAGGCTCAGTTTCCTCATTTGTAAAATGGGGTGAGAATGGTTTCTCCACGGGACAGTGTTGAGATTTAACTGAGATGATGTATGTTAAGCCCTTCACAGTGCCTGGCACATAGTAGGCCCACAATAAATGGTTGCTGCCATCACTATGGGAAGAAAAAGCAAGGTGAACTTTGGAGAACTGACCTCTGCTTGTAGGTCATAGCCAGGTTTTTCCAATAGTTAGCTTCTTCCTCCTCGGAGCTGAAAGTCTTTCCCGAGTCCTCCATTGTGAAAACGGGAAAAGATTACTATTCTTGTCTCATGATGGCTAGAAGAGAAAGTTTTAAAATTATTACCCACATCTGGTTAAACAGCTCATCTTTAATGGGGAAAAAAATTCCTAGACTTTATGTTGGATTAAATGTGGCAAAAAACATTGCCAAAAAACTAAAACTAAACCCAGACAAAATACAGCCCACCTGCACATTACATTCCATGGATAAACCTACCAGTGGGCTTCCTGGTGGCACAGTGGTTAAGAATCTGCCTGCCAATGCAGGGGACGCTGGTTCAAGCCCTGGTCCGGGAAGATCCCACATGCTGCGGAGCAAATAAGCCCGTGCGCCACAACTACTGAGCCTGCATTCTACAGCCCGTGAGCCACAACTGCTGAAGCCCGCGCGCCTAGAGCCGTGCTCCGCAACAAGAGAAGCCACCGCAATGAGAAGCCCACGCACTGCAACTAAGCTCGCCACAACTAGAGAAAGCCCGCGTGCAGCAACGAAGACCCAACGCAGCCAAAAATAAAATAAATAAATGTACTTTAAAAAAAAAAAAACCTACCAGGACTTGCTGATTTATTACATTTGGTGTGGGAGGGGAGGGGAGGGGAGGATGTCTCACTGGTTCTAACTTAGGCAACCAGGTGCCAACACCATCACCAGAGACAGAGAATCAGAAGGAAAAGTCTTTAGGGTGAGGGGATACTGAACCCAGCTTGGGACATTTTTAATTGGACGTGCCTGTGATACACCAAGATGCAACACTGGATCTGAAACTCGGGGTGAAGTCCAGGCTAACAATACAAATTTAAGAATCATGAGTTTGTAGCTGGTTCTTCCTTTTTTCTTGTGACAGAACCACAAGATAATTGACTGAGAACTATTTACGGATCTCTGAGGAGTGCCAGTGTCTGAAAGCTGGGAAGAGAAAGAGTGATCAGAGACAGAGGAGAAACAAGTGAGAGAGATGAGAACCAGAAGAGTGAGCTGTCCCGGGAGTAGACAGTTTCAAGAAAAAAGAGATGTTCCACAGTATCCAAGATGCAACAGAGAAGCTGGTAAGGTAAGGACTGGGAAACATCCACCCACAAGACTTGGCAAAATGTCGGTCACTGGTGATATGAGCAGAGAATGGTTTCAACACAGGGAGGAGGGATAAACAGGGTGGAGGAGTAACTAGGAGGTGAGGAAGAGGAAGTAGGTGGGATTTTGGAGAACTGGGTATGAGAAGAAAAGGAGACACATTAGACAGTAGCCAGAGGGAAGTGATGATAAGGGCCTGGACTCAGGATTCTGAGCTAACCAGAGCAGAGGTTAGGGAACAAATTTCTATTAACAGTTATCAGTCTATGGACTCCCGGCTGATAAAGCCTCTCAATGTAACAGCTTATTTTCTCAATTTATTTAAGACTCTGAGCTTGTCAAAAGGTCATTAGGAATCCAAAGGAGATCTCTCCAAAGTCCCTTCTTACGCTCAAGCTAGCTCATGGTTCTGTCTCTGGGGACAACAGAATGAACACAACCCCTCACTCTGCAAGACATAACTAGCAAGCTGTGTATCTGGCTAAATATACAAATAATTCCACTAAATATGTCAGTGTTGACATGGACACAATCACCAACTTCTTTATCCCTGGTAGAAACTGAACAATGATACCTACATCTGAGCACAGTACTTACTGATAACTCTACATTTGTTAGGACCTGTATTCACACCTCTTCCTCCAAATTTCTCTCCCTTCCCTAATTCAGAGAAAACATGCCACGTCCCCACCCACTCCCTTCTGGGGAACAGAGTTTCTCTGAAAGCTTGACTAAAGCAGAGAAGCTGGATGGAGTAGAAAGTTGTTAATTTGGTTTTTTTCCCAGTCCATCATTCCTTCTTCCATCTTTCTGTAACAGCACCCCAACATTCCCTTGGGGAAACCAATTCTACACTCCTTCCATGGGGCTCAGATGAACTTGACATCATCTTCTGCATCTGGGAGAAGGCATGTGACTACTCATGCCTCCAGCATAATCGGTAATGGGCTCAGAGGTGGGCCTAACCCAATCTGAACCAATGACAAGGATCAGCCTAATCCAAACTGAGCCAATGATTGGCTCAGGGGTGCACGTAACCCAAGCTGAGCCAATGAGTGTCCAGGCTCAGGCCTTTCCCGGAGCTATCAAGAAAGAAACTCTCTGGAGTTGTTAACTCTCTGGAGTTGTAGTAATTACTTCAAAAATATACGTCTCAAACCATCACGTGCTACACCTTAAACTTACACAACGTTATATGTCAATTATAGCTCCATAAAGCCCGGGGGGAGGAGGAGAAGAAACTCTTTCCACTAGGGTTCATGGTGGTCAACTTGCTATCACAAGGGAGGAGCCGGCCTGAGAATGAAGCCAAAACAAAGGAAAGCAGGGCCAAGAAGTGGAGAGAGTGTGGGGCCTGACAATATCATTCGGGCACCTGGGTCCAGTCATTCCTGATTTAAGGTTAGGAGAGATAATCAACTCCCTTTCTTGGTTGGACCAGTTAGGTCTGGATTTCTGCTACAAGAGGCCTAATTAACGTTTGGAGTGAAGGATCTTGTTTGATGAAAGTACAAAGGATAGAGCACCTAGAGTGTAAATAACAGTAATTACCATGGTGACAGGTAAGGGTAAACCTAATTCTGGTAATCCTTGCTCAAGCCGCAAGCTCTAATGAGCCCAGAGCTCATCAAGTATGGGGTCACCAAACCAATGTCTATAGTGTTAAGAGCCCAGAGCCCATGCAACTGTAACTGAGTGCTGTGTGGCCATTAATGATCATATTGAGGACAGTCTCAAATGCACGGCATGGGAGGAATTCTGTGTACAGGAGGGTGAGAAAGTGAGGAACTAGGAAAAATGAATGTACACTGACTTTTCCCGATGTTTGGAAACAGATCACGTCCAAGTTCAACGTAATGAGTCCCTGCCTACTTCTCTAAACATTTCCTACAGCCCTACCCCTCACTCGCTTACGCTGCAGCCACACTGCCTTCTTTCTGTTCCTTGAACACACCAAGCTTGCTCCCACTCAGGGTCTTTGAACTAACTGGCTGTTTTCTCTGCCTGGAATGCTCTTCCCTCAGATCTCTGCTAGCAGATTTCCTTCTTGCTGTTCAGATCACAGCTGAACTGTCTTCCCCAGAGAGACCTTATCTGAACATCCCACCAAATACCTCCTCCAGCCCTTCACTGTCATATTAACCCCTGCTTTGTTTTATTTCATCACTTTATGAGTTTTGTTTTTGTTTTATCTTCCCCCACTGGAATGTCAGTTTTGAGCACAGGGACCTTCACCATTTTACTTTTTTATTCCCAATTCCTTGAACAGTGCCTGGCATATAACAGGCTTTCAATAAATGCTTGTGGAAGGAAGGAACACAGGGAAAGACAGAGACTAGCCACTTGCTGGAAGGGGATGTGAGGTTAAGGAAAAGAAGCAAGAGACCCTCTGCAGGCTAGTTTATAGTTTACTTCTGTAAATCCCTAAGATACTTAACAGGACGGGGAAAACCTTTCTCCCTCGGCACCTGCGTGGCATCTCATTAATGGGAAGGGGCTGGAGGACAGGGTGCCATGTTGGAAACTACCCCCTCCCCAGGTGTACATGATAAGGAGTATCTGATACAGTTACTGGAGTTTAATAACCTTCATCCTGCAATCTTAGGACAGCTGAGTTTCAGAAAAGGGCTCTTTATCACAGCCAGTGAGGCTTATAACTTAAGCCTCGGTAAAGAAATGAAATTGAGATGTTTTAGGAGGTGCTTCCACTGTGGCTCTAATTACAGCCCCTGCATTTTAAAAACACCCCTAGGGAAGAGAAAAACTATGCGAGAGGCTAAGAGGAAAGAAGTAACAGCTGAACTTCACTTTCTTATGAAACAGCATACTTAAAAACCTGCCTTTTTTTTTTTTTGGCCATTTGAAAATGTCTCAGAAAGTTCTAACGTGCATTACTCCCTGCCACAGATAGCAGGTACGACAACTGGCAAAGGTTCCCCTTTTCCAAAATTATTTACTGAATTTTATCATCACCTTCTATTTGTGGTGTGTTAGGCATTTACTACATTATTTCCAAATAACTTGACCCCTTTAAGCTGTTTAACTGTAAGGGGTAGGTAGGCAAGGCAATCACTTGGTTTCTTAGGAAGCTGGAGCAGAAACACTGTATGCCTTGGCCATCTGCATAGGTGCAACAGAGTGGCAAACCAGACCCATGTGCAAGGGAGTCTTTGAATTCAAATTCCAGATCTCACTGGGGTTGCCAATAGACTGGAGGTCAGTTTCACTCTTTGGTCCACACAGTCTTTTGAAAGGCACTGTGTCAGGCAGGTGTTAATGCTTGGTCACAGCATACACAACTTTGTACCCACTATCTTAAAAGTGGATACTGCATGCATTTATTGAATCCAAGCCACAGGGATATGTCTTCCTAACTTGCGTTCTCAATACACCATCATGCCGTCATGCCCCAGTAGCTCTGTAGACAAACCTGATGGGTACCTCAAATGTATGTGCTACAGCATGCAAAAACTGGGATCAAGTGGTCCAGTAAGTACTTATTTTCTATTTTGGATAACTTAGATCTATTACTCTTACAAAAGTGTTTCAGCAAGTTTTTGGGGGGGCGGGTATTTTCCATGATCAAACTTAACAGGAAAGTCTGAAAACACACTTGAGACACACACCTTTGATTTCAAAACTCTAGAAAAAACAAAGCCTTTCTCAGCTCTCCTGAGTGAAGAAAGCCAGCACAGCTGGTCAGGAGCAACACAAACATATAAACCATCAGGAATTAATGGCCCTTCTCCACCCCAACCCCAATCCCTCCCAAGCAAAACACATGGAAGAGCAGAAGGGAAAGGGAGAAAAAGAAAAAAGCTGCCAGAGACTGGCACATGCTCCCACGGCTTCTACGTTACGACGCAGGCTTTGCATTTTGCAGAAGTGACATTACTGGGGCAAAATCAGTCAAGAGTCAGCAG